GAAAAGAATAACAAATTAGAAGGAAAAAAAGATTTTAAAAATACATACATGTATTTCAGTATCCTGAGGCTCTGCGCCCCATTTCTTTTCCTCAAGGACGGCAAGAAAAGTCAGACATTATACGATTTAAAATAAAAACAATAATCGTGGCTTGATATTGAGTAAGAAACATTTTTATGAACCACACAGCTTCCGGTCTTCCAAGACCCGACCGGACAAAAAGACGTGCGGCAGGCACGAAACATACTACCAATAGAAATACATTGCTTTTAAAATCGTTCTGTGTGACACGAAAAAAAGGGGGAAATCGTGTTGGTGAACACGAAGCAATAGATTAAATGTCGTGACTATAACACTTAATGACGTGAGACTGGGTTGCCTGGTCATAATCAAAATGTTAGATAATCAGACAAATAGGTAAAAGATCTGCTTTACAATTCATATGCTCACCTCGCTTTCGGACCAGGTACTTTATTTTATTTCGTTTTCAAACAAAAACAGTCAGTCTAGGCAGGTGATCAGCTGATTGCAATTGCGACGAAGCTTCGTCAACAGGAAATTCGATGAATCCTTTTATCTTTTTATTTAAATAACTTTCCGCTGTTCACAAAAACCTGTCTGATCAAGATTCAGGGCCTGGGATAAATTGAGTAATTATGACTTAATTAAACAATATGCTTAAATCTTCCTCATACGAATTTGTAGCTTCCAGTACAGGTAAGAACACGTCATCATGCATTTTCTTATGCACATTATTACATTTTGTATGAAAGTAAAACATGTAAACAAATGAATCTACTATTTGTATTACGACTTTCTTTAGCATAAATGTAAAATACATTATGGCTACTATAACTAAAGGCTTCCAGTCTCCTTTAGCTACATGCTTTACGAGTTGTGTCAGCAATAGAATATGGTTATACTTCAGCAGTATTGAGACTTCATGCCTTTATTATGAAAATAATACATGGTATTATAAGAAGTTCCTATGGCTTTGTGTCCCTGGTGGTTTGTTTCAAAAGCATTGAAAGGATATCTTGTAAATCACATGCTTAAAACTTAAATCTCTGGCCTTTAAGCACTTTCCTGATTGTTCATCCGTCTCTAAAGTGTACTTGGCTTTAATGCTACAGTAGAATTCAGCTATTGTGGATTTTAGAAACTGTTAGCGCACAGTCCGTTTAAGGTATATGATGATCATATGGTAACTTTAGATGCATTGTGCCTATTGAAAGGGATTCACAGTCTTGTCCCATTTTATCCTGCCTAATCAGTGTGGGGCTGGCTCTGTGGGCAAAGGCCTGCCTGTGTGTCTGGTTCAATGAACAGGCGAGGGTCCATGGGGTATCGTGGACCCACAATGCTTCACGGTGACCAAATAAGGTCTGTCTGCAACATGTATGCTAGGAGGAGACAGGGGCACTAAGTTGGCACAGTCCAGTCTCTCACATTCTTTGGACTCTCTCAAAAGGTTGCCGTCCCTCATCACACATCTAGTATGTGATTGGACGGAACAGAAAGGGCTGACCCATGAACTGTACAGAGTTGTTTGTGAAAACAAGTCATGTACAAGGCTGGTCATCGTAAAGTGGTTCTAATAATAGAGGAGGATACTTTGTTGAGACTTTCACTTACACTACCACTGCTTAAAAGTCAATCAATTAATTCAGTGAATGATTTTTTTTCGGACGTGTAATTAGCTAAAGCTTTGTTGTTTATTGATATCAGACAATGATACTACAGATTATTCAATTATTAATTAAATATTTCGTTTTGTTATTGCATTCATTTGTATAGTACTGTATCATGTCTGCATCATCTTTTGTTTCATTTGTATTTTCTTTGGTTTTACACGCTCGAAAAAAATAAATAAACTAAACTAAACTTAAGCTGACTAGTCACTGGAATGTGTAGGAATCCTCCTATTACCATAATGTTCTTTGCTTTTAATGAGAATATGTATACACTGTAGAAGAAACACAATTTAACATAAAGTTCATGTACACTACATGATGCTATCACTGCATATGATGTGTGTTTCTGCACTATACTGCAAAGCAGTGGCAAGACCGGAGCATAGGAGATACCAATATTGTTCAATACATTCTGTCTCACTGCTGCAGACGTTGGTTAAAGATTAGCTCTGGTGTTATCCTTGGGGCCTCTTTGAAGTGGACTTACTCTAACCCCTGCTTATCTTAATTAAAAAGAAATCTGTAGGAGTGAAGCGGTCTTCTGAAAACGAGCACCTCCACTCCCCTGCTCCCTGAAGGCCACACTGCGGCTTTGCCTGGACTTTAATGCTTCCTCAACTCAATATTTGCTCTTGACATGGTGTGATTGTAGTATAAACTGTGAACACAAAGGTTTTTCTTCCTGAGATTAGAAAGCGCTGCTGGAGGTATCTTCCTCGGATTTTGCTAGATATGAAACATTTATAATGAATAGATCCTCTTTACAGTATGTTTGTTAGTAATGTGGAAGGCTAACAGGTGTTTAATGTGATTCATATTGAAAGGGAAATCTGCTCCTTTGAGGCTTAGCATGATTTGTAGGCTGTGTCGTGTAAATAACTATGCAAAACCATTTCATGCTTTTACTGAAATGACAGGGTCCTTTGGATAAATCTGGCGATATACGATTCTTAAATGTCCCTGTGTTATAGCTGTTACAAAGTCTCTGCCAACCATATAAATCTAGACAAATAGACAAGACCTTCTCAGTTTCCATTACCTCAGTGGAGGATTGTCTCCTCCACAACTCAGAGATCACACATGCAATGTTTACCGGTGGCATGCGGCTGGCTTTAATCCAAATGGAGCAGGGAGGTCCTGTCATACACAGGTCACCTGTCTCCACAAGAATTATGCGGAACACACAGGAAGCTAAAATACTACGCTGTGGTAAACCTCAAGAATGTATGAGTTGGAAAATGTATCACTTGAGACATTTTATTAAAAAAACATATTTCTCTATAACCAGTTGATATTATACAATAGCAAATCACCCTTTTTCCTATGTGTTTCTTTCATCACACAGTGTTCAGCCGGTGTTTACCCTAAAACATGTGTTTTCTTGGCAAACACCATTTTTAGTTTCACATTGAATAGTTTTTCTTATCGCTTGCTTGCCGTAATATGGATCAAGCTTGTTTGACTTTATAATATAAGGCATATTATATGATGTAATGCCACATGTAATGACTTACCAAACAACTTTCTCTGCTGAGCTTAGTCGTTTAATTAGTGCTTGTCCTTTATGATGTTCCTTCCCATGCTGTTTGTGATGCAAATTATATTGTTTTTTAAATTAAATTATAACTTTTTTAGGATTACCAGATGTACGGGTTGTGCACATGAACAGTGACTTGAGTGGAAAGCAGGCCAACTAAACAACATCAACTATAGAAACGTTTATTTTAGTTGGACCTCTCATCAATCTAATTATGGTTTGAGTAATTAATCAGGACCTTGGTAACATCTTCATAGTGGTGCCACTGGAGCAAAGAAAAATGCTATTTTTTAGAGGAATAGAAAAAAATGTTTATAAAAATGTCATGATTTAATGCAACATTTAGTTAATTTTGCATAAAAGAGAAATATAGCAGCTCCTTTCATTCCCGCTCAATCTTTACAGTGTCTGCAATTTTTCATTCCAATGACAGCAATTGCAACCACCAAGTCTAACTGACACACACACACACAAGTTCAAAGGACATCAGTATCTCTCTATTCTTCTTCTTTCTAGCATTTTTGATAAAGCCCAAAAGTAACTAGAAATGCTGGGATAAAGAGTCTGTTTTTTAGAATCTCCCTACTATCTTATTCTTCACAACTCTCTTGAAGTGTTCTATCGGGTAGAAAGTACCTCCATGTATTCATTATGGATTAATGAAGTTTGCTCAACTCAATGATTTGCTGGGTTTGGATAAGAAGGCATAAAAAGAGCCCACCTTTTCTCTCAGGTCACAGTGACACAAAAGGTTTGAGCACAATGTGGTCAAAAAGCATCAGGCATTCAGACTCAGTTTTGAATAAATGCTCTATACTGTAGGAAAAAGCTGTTGCAGAGAGCATTTAAACACATTAACTGGTGAGTGCGTGCCCTCACACATAATAAAACATCCAGGGTGAATGTGTAAAGGTCTCAGCAGGACTATCGAGGGAGGAAATGGACACAGTGGAGCGGTCAGCTGGATGTAACAGATTTACTGACCCTAACGACAAGGGTGGGGTGGGTTAGAAACTCTCAGTTGTGCCCAACAAACAACAGCAACACTGTGAGAAATGACCCTGCACCCTTCTGTCAGTTTAACTATTATTCCAGCACTTTCAGAAGTGCCAGATCCTTGGTGGATCAGTCATTTGTATCTCACCATCCTGATCTAGTAAAGCAGCAGCACTTACTGTGCAGTCTGGTGGATGCGTGCCAAGTCTTAAGAATATGTGTATAATTACTTAGAGGCAAGTGAGTGCAATTCAAATTCGATTCAAGTGTGTGGCGGTTTCCTTTTGGGTCAGTGTGTGCACTATTTTTCTCTGTATTTCTGTACCTGTGAGTCTTTTTGTTGTCTGTGTGTGTGGCTCTGCTTTGAGTCTTTATGGTGAAATAGTAGCAGCGATGCCCTCAAGGACTGTAGCCTCGCCCTTTGAATCCAACTTCAAAAAGCAAGGATGAAATACCTCCGTTCAGACAAAAAACAACACTTTTTATCGTACTTAAAAAAGAAGCAATTAGACAACTTCCTTTGGCATTGGGGCTGTGCACCACTCTCCCTGACTAATACCTTTGAGTCTCCCCAAGAAAACATTCTATTTACGGCTGTTGGAAATGTTTGTGCAACCCCCTATAAGAAATAGCAATGTTTATTTTCAAATCATTTTTGGGATTATTAAGTGCTAGTGAGACTATTAGTCATCCCTTGTGTTTTCCCATGCCTGTGTTTATTTCTATGGATCCATTTCTAAGTTTCTTTAACACGATTAACTATTTGATTGCAGGAGGCAACAAACTGAAGAACCAGCAGTACCGTCTGAACTGGGCTTGGATCTCTCTGGAGAAGGAGCACTATGTGGTGGATGAAGAGGTCAAGTTTCTGGAGGTGGTGCTGAAACGTCGGGGCTACCTCGGGGAGACTTCCTTCGTTAGTAAGTAGACACTGATTCTTCTGATGACACTTATACTAATAGATTCTCCATAGTCATTTCTAAATGCCACTATAAAGCAATCGAAGATTATTTAAAAAATAATGTTGTTCTCTATCTTGATCTCAATCCGGTTATGCACCAGCAATTATGAATAAAACTAATAAATAAGTAAAACACCCAATATATTAACTACAATATCTATGACATACATTAAAAATAGGTACTGCAGTAAAAAAGGGAGAAGTGAGAAAAATGTAGTCTATAAGACTTTTTCCATAAGTGCACAAATCACACGTAAATATGTACATATGTTTGTGCTTTAGTGACATACATCCTGGAAATAGTCCTGGATCCACACCAAAAACTACACTGGTGTTGCTTTGCCAAAGAACTAACCAATCAGAAAATGTCTGCAGGTATCCTTAAGAGAAAAAAAACTAAAATGAGAAACCTACACTCCTTGTCCCTTCACTAAAGCAGGGTGCCAGAGGTCACACACACTTGTATACATATTAAGACCACTCTAAGGCTGTCCTAGACACCTTTAGGGTCACACAGGTGACCCTAAAGTCACACATGACCTTTCACCTGTCCCCTCCAGCCAGTATTTATGCTCCAAGCACACAAAAGCACAGCACTACCCCTCAGGAACTGCATGTGCACATAACAAAGGTCACCCAAAGCCTGGCGGCTTTAGAGAGGTGCTGTTCCAAATATTAGTAAAGAAGATTTACTGGCAGGAACTAACAGACAATAACTGTTAACACTGTTTAAAATAACAAGCTGCTGAAAGCGTTTATGAGTGGCAGGAATTCTTACTACTGGCACTATTGGCCTTTTTTACGTTCTATATTTATTCTGTCCATAAAAACAAGGTATGATTAAAATGTAAGGATGTTAAAGGTCAAAATCCCTAAGGATAATTTCCTCTACTGTCTTCAGGATTTGTGTATGCCCCGGGGCGACAGACTAATGAAAAATCTCTTCGATGATATGCAAATTGTGCTGACCTTTATAGTGCCTCACACTGCTCATTATATTATCATCGCTATCTCTGCCACTCATTGTAGTAAAAAAATACAGATCATTGTACTCAACAGATATACAGGCATATACCGTATAGTTGAATATAAATCACTGTAAGAAGTAAATTAATGCCATAACAAGAACACAGTTTACAAGTTTAGTTACAAGAACAAAAGAAACTGCAAAAATTCAACTGTATCCTCTGTGTGATGACCCCACGGTTATCTCTTAGCAAATTAACATTTAACAGCAAAATAGCATATTTTGAATCAGGAACTTGGGCAAATAATCACATGACTGTCCTTTGTTTTGATTTTCTCGAGCACCGCTAATGTTTTATTAATGATTGCATTATAAATGAAAGAAGCGCTATTTTGGACTTTGGATGCACTCTGTTTTCAGTCCCCAATACGAACATGCCTTGCATTTCTTTTTATGTCTTTTGTGAGCTTTCAAGTCCAAACCATAGCTTTTCACAGTGCAGTTTTCTTATGATTGAGGTAGCATCAAGGGGAATGATAATCATTGAGGGTGGATGGTCCACCGCTACATGCTGGGGAGAATAAGCACACAAAAGAGGCTGCGATTTAGAAAGATATTAAGTCCAAACCATTGTGTTTTACAGCTCCCTCAAAACACAGAAAGCAATAAAGGTTATCTTTCTAAATGCATAGGTTATGAAAGCTTTCATGTTGTCCATTTCTTATTACAGTTAATTGAGTACATGTTTTCATCTTCAGGCATCGATTCTTTCATCACCGATCACCCTGTTCCTTTTCTGTCAGTCTTATTGAATAGATTTTAAAATGTTTTTCTCCATTTCTAGCCAGGAAAAACATTTCTGAGATAGCTTTTGGTTTGGGATGTAACTTGCGTATATTTACATTGTCAGAAAGTGGCACACGCTTGAATAATTAACTTTGGTTTTAATGAGAAACCAGAGAAATATGATTTTGGGGAGAGTATTCTATCATACAGTACATGCTTCAAAAACATCTCTGCTGCATTCTGCATGCAGATAAACAACTAACACTACGCTGTCTCAGTCAGGTAAAAGAACCAAAGGAGAGCACTCATTACTTTCTCAAAATAATCATTGGTAGTGCATCTCTTCTTCAGCTGCATTGAAGATATAAAGCAAAAGGAGCAGACCATTTTTGCAGGCCACCAAAAAACCAGACAATTTAAGCCGCCCATCTGTCTCTGTGTTGCGATGAGATAATGACTGATCCCAAGCCAGGACCAACTCGTGAATCCTGGAGGTATCTATTCTTGCCCAACCCAGCCTGAGTGAACAATGATCAGAGGAGCATACTACCGCTTCACTGGTCAATGTGCACAGTTCAGGTGTCACCAGTTTGGAGTCTACAGCGAGCCCACCTGCTGCGAAGCGTCAGAATGACTGCTGTGATCAGGGCCGTCCAATCCAGGCATTGTGCGAGAGATAGAGTTAAGAGCAAATCATACTCTTGCCTCTCCTACTCTTTGAAGACTGCTGATTTTTCAAGCTCAATTGAGCTTGACCATTTTATCTTACCACGTATGTGCAGTGGCCTTTCCTTCTCTCTGTACTTGCATATCAAAGCCCACTTTTTTATTTTCATCAAAGAACAGAATGGTAATTCTCTTAAAAGCCCAAACTCATGCATTACTCAATCTGTGGTCTTTTGAAGAGCTTGTTTGTAGTCCTGATGCGCCATTTGCATTTTTCTCTTCTCTTTCTTCCTTCCTCCGTTGTTACCAAACAGCAACTTTTCTAATTGTGTCTTTTCTTATTTCATGCAATCCTTGTGTTTCATTTATCTAATAATGTATTGTTTGCCACATGAATGAAGCCTTCAGGATTGCCTTGGTGTGTGTAGGCATTTTCTTTCCTTTTACTGCCAGATCCCTGCTGATTGTTGTGTGCCCAGTTAGCAATGACAATGGAGAGGCTGTGTGACATTTCACCAGCCTCAGTGCTCCCGCTCAACAGAGACCATGACAGTTTCTCAGCTATAGTGTCCGTAGCCACCATCAAACAGCTCGCATGCTGAAGGTCAGACAACGCAAGTCAGCCTCCAACAGCGGCTGAGAGCAGGCTGACATGAGGGGTAATTGGCTGTATTCCCACTATAGATATTCAAATCATTATTAATGACAAACTGCAACCAGAAGATGGGCAGCTATTGTCTGGTTAGACGAACTGGGACATGACATTTTCCTTGTTTTAAATGGGGCAAAGATTTGTAGTTTAGATGTATATTTTCTATTATTATATTCTACAATATCTCAAAACTTTGAACATTCACTGCTACAGTACATAAATACATCAGGATTCACAGATTGTTAATCCCTTTAAGAAATGTATGTATGTAAATAATGAAAAATATGCATTGACGGTCGCTGGTATCAAAAATACCAAGCAAGGTGAAACGTTCTTTGATATGCACGATTATGATAATAACCCATTTCTTCCATGTCCTTCCTAAGGTATTGGCACAAAGGATGGCACCGCAGAGAAGGATAAAGACTTCCGAGGGAAATCTCAGAAACAGGTGCAGTTTAACCCGGGCCAGACCACAGCCACCTGGAAGGTGCGGATCCTGTCAGATAGCGAGCATGAAGTGTCTGAGAGCTTCCAGATCGTTCTGTCTGAGCCGGTGATGGCAGCCATTGAATTCCCGCTGTTTGCTACTGTGGAGATCCTGGACCCCGATGATGGTCAGTAAAGATAAATGTTTATATTTCATTGTATTGCTTAAAATAGGGATAGCGCTATATTTAAAATTAAATAAGTTTCTTCCTAAAAACGTATGCCCAAAAAAATTATTGGTGATGCTTTTCTTGGTTTTGTTGTTTAACAAGGTCTTAAATGGATGCTGGAGTTTGACAGCAGAACATTTTCCAGTTATATACAGTTTTAGTTTACGTTGTATTGTTACGTTTTTACATGTTCCAAACCATTAACATTGTGTTTCACAGCTGTTCATCTATCATGCAGAAAGAAATCATGGACAACGATGTCCTAATTTAATAAGGGGTGCTAAATCAATTAACATAACAACTGAATGCTTAAAGAAACTAACCACATCCTGGACTCAACTTGATTATGGAAATAGTTAAACACAGTAAGGGGCTGGATTTTATTTCAAAGTGTAGATACAAGGTCAAAATGATATCTGGAGAGCACACAACCTCCCTGCATCTGAAATGAGCTCTACAAGAGCAGGTGAACAGTGTGTCTGAGAACAGCTTGACTGTGATAGAGCTGAGAGAGAACTGCATATTTTAAATATGGATAATACTCCCCCTTATCCCACAAGGCTTCATTTGGTGAAAAGGGAGAAGTTGCTGTCCACATTTTATGCTAATTAAGATGTTTAGTTGGAACATTGTTTTACAGAACATCGGTCTCTGGTGGGCTTTCAATTGGCAGATATCTCTGCACGATGTGATCTTCTTTTTTCCTGTGATTGTCTTTCCTTTTGTTCCTTTTCGTTTAGGGTATCTAAAGTTTTTATGTGTTTTGGCACGGTCAAGGTCAAGGTCAAATACACTCTGAACTCATACAAATATATTTTTGTTTCTATTTTACTCCGAGCAGATAAATACAAACATCCCCGGAGGCTGCAACCATGACACTATAAATAAATAATTTCACACCAGACAGACTTAGTGGTAAAAACAAAATAAGGTGAAGAGTTGCCACATCATTCTAAGTATGCATGGTATTCAGGATGGGAAAGGACAGGTCAAGCTCTGTTGACTCTCCAACACTTTTAATGTGGCTGACCATGAGAGAGAGAGAGAGGAGAGAGAGAGAGAGAGAGAGAGAGAGAGAGAGAGAGAGAGAGAGAGAGGAGGAGAGAGAGAGAGAGAGAGAGAGAAGAGAGAGAGAGAGAGAGAGAGAGAGAGAGAGAGAGAGAGAGAGAGAGAGAGAGAGAGAGAGATAGAGAGTAGAGAGAGAGAGAGATGAGAGAGAGAGAGAGAGAGAGAGAGAGAGAGAGACTCTGTCTGAGCTTCTAGCTTTCATATGCAGCTCGGGTAGAAAAGAGACAAAGGAATGGAGGGCTGCCAGGAAAACTGTGGAAAAACAACCAAATTGTTTAACACGTCTCTGCTTGCAAACATAATTAGTGTTACACTCGTTTTTATTCTAGCCAGTTTATGTGGGAAACTTATAATGAAAGTGTGAGGCTTATATTTGTACACATTGTTTTTAATTCTCTTAGGGATTCCTTACTCTTTTAACTCATCAGCAGACGTCTACAAATAACATTTTCTGCATCTGCATCTGTGTTATTCTGTGTGTGACTGAAGCGCACTCTAGTTTGAATAGTTGCTGAAGATAAACAAGCAGTAGATTGCTGGGTTTGATTAAACATGATGGAGGCAGCATCAGCAGAGCTGTAATGAGAGCTGTCATTGGTCCTGTGTATTAAAAGTGATTCATGTAAATCATGTCACAAATGATTAGATGTTTTGAAGCTTTTCCTTTTTCTTCTCCTCTCATTCAGTTGAGTTTACATGACATAAGATAGGGATTTATTTCTACCAAAAGTCAAATACAATGTGACAAAACGTTTTTAAAAACACTAATAATACATATTAACGCCTCTATGTCATCGTAATGCTCTGCTGTGCATTGATTTTCTCATCTACAGAGTCAACAGTGTTCATCCCCTCAGCTGAATACAACATAGAGGAGGACATTGGAGAGCTGCTGATCCCGGTGCACAGGAGTGGAGATGTCAGTCAGGAGCTCATGGTCATCTGCTGCACACAGCAAGGTAACAAGCACTGTGGGGGGTAAAATAAGACTATTTCAGGACTATATATATTTTATAGACAAAGAGGATTGTAGGAGTTTAAAAGAAATGCTGCTCTAAAACATGTCTCTGAAGTGTTTTGCTCGAAATACCAAACAGATCATTGTAGCATCCCATAATCCCCTGTTTCAGCCCTGTTTCAAAAGTGCTGATTCTGTGTGTTACTTTAGATGAAAAATACGGAGCCTCTCCACACGCCCCTCTGAGAGATATTTGGTTAAAAAGAATGTTTGGTTAAAAAGAACACAATGGTAGCAAGAGATTCAGGTGATAAGGTGGGCGGGTGTTACCTTGATTGGTTATTGGCTAATGGTTACACAAGCCATCGTTAAATCGTTATGAAATCATAAAGTGGCCAAAATCTGATCAGCTCCTTTTCAGACAGGTTTTATATAAATGGATCAGGATAAAAAGTGAGCGAATCTTTTTTCCTGATGACATGTTTATCTATAAAAGACATGAAAAAGTGGATTTTGCACAATAGGCCCCCTTTAAGTTATTGATTAAATGTGAACAAAACATACTGTATTATGGTTGGATCATTAACTGAGCTTTCTGTTATTCTGTTTTCTCCCCATTTAGTTTCGGCCACAGGCACCGTGCCCACCACCGTGCTGTCATACTCTGATTACATCTCCAGGCCTGAGGACCATCACAGCATACTGCGCTTTGACAAAGGAGAGGTGGAGAAATCCTGCCGGGTGGTGATCATTGATGACTCTCTGTATGAAGACGAGGAAAGCTTCAATGTCACCCTCAGCATGCCCATGGGGGGCCGTCTGGGCTCAGAGTTCCCCGCAGCTAGAATCACAATCATTCCCGATATGGAAGACGGTAAGATGACATTTCCATGCTCAAAGGTGTGAAGAGGAATAAAATACTGTGTCAAATGGTCGGGCATAAGAAAGAAAAAGGGCTTTGGTTATTGAATCCCCTTGTGTGGCATTCAGATACAGGTTTTTTTTTTTTTTTTACTTTCAAAGGTTTTTCAATTCAAGAAACAGGCAGCATGAATGTGTTTTTCCCTCGGTATTATCAGATTTATTTTGAGGAGTTTTTGTATTTGTTCAAGCTGTTACTGTATGTGTAATGTTTAAGCACTTTGACAATAGCTTATGTTTTGCTAAATTGATCCAAATAGAGACATGTAAACAGTTGGCAGGTGGCCAGACAGACAGCAAAAGTGTGGGAGAAAATGTGAAATGTGTGCTTGAAGGTTTTTTCTGTATGGGTTCCTGCTTGTCTGACAATGTTTTGGAGGGAGGGAAAGCGTTTGAGTGTGTGAGGCTCCTTCCTGGAGGCAAAGACTTTATCTCATATCTGCAGGCTCAGACTGGAGGGCTGATAGTCTCGCATTTTTTCCTGACGCCTCTTTGTTCCCCAACACCTGACGGCCATTCCTCAGCTCCCTATCGCTTTGACGATCTCCAGAAGCACTGCTCTAAAGTCAAGACTCCGTGATCGCTGGCTAGAGCTGAACAGCCCAGCGTAATTGCTGAACAGTCTTTTTTCCCCCTTGAATCAAAACCCATTTAAATCACCATCATTTGGGTGATGATGCACTATTCGATTCAGCATTCTTACATTCTTATAACTTGCTTTATGGAGATTAATGTTAATCTTCTCCAACTACTATAAGTTGAAGGCTTCCTGCTTAAGGAGAGCCTCCTATTTCATATTCTGTTCATACTGAACATTTTATAGAAGTGTGTGCTTAAGCAATGCATGCATTTTTATTATATATTTATGATGTTATTCCCCTCCCAAGAAATGTATCCAGGTCTCAGTCTGTACTTCAACCTGTGTTTCAACCTGTGCTTAGGAGTTCTACTGCAAATTAGACTGTGTAACAAGTGACTCTCCTCTTCCTCTCCTGTGGGATTCGAGGCAAACACACTGCAAGTGGATTTGACCTGCTTGAAGAAGGAGGAGGTTACGTGTTTGGAATGTTTCCTAACTGTAGCAGCGCTTGGTGTAACCTGAGAGTGAGAACAGGTCCTTTCGACCTCCGCTGCTCTTGGGTATCGACTCAAGACTTCCAAGACAGCTGCTGGGACACACACGTTTTTAAATTGGATGTACAACAGTCAGTACTTACAGCATGTTTCACAAAGTAATGTGCCAACACAGTATTTATGGATACTGACATACTGCAAACAATGCACGTCCAACACCTGCCAGAGAGCTCATTGATTGGAGATATTATTGAGTCTTTTTATGGTTGTCTGACTCCATCAAACACGGTTCCTTGTCATTTACAGTTTGGGTTAAGGTCAAGGCTGTTTGAAAATCACGGAGGCTGACAAATAGAGCACAAATATATTACAAAAATATTAAATAAGCAAACTAAAAGTTTGCTTCAGAAGTGGTTTCAGAAGGACGCATTGCACATTTTTAATGGTTAAGGGAACTACTATTCTAGTGGGTCAAATGTTCCTGATAAATAGCATCTTCATGTTATGCATTTCTGATTTTCATAGTTGGAAGGCATACCCTATTTTAAGCCCATAGTCAGTCAGTGTGCAAATATAAACAATGACTTGCCTGAGTAATCCAATTTGTGTGGTTTGAAAATCCAATTCATCATTAAATATACAATGAAATGTTCTTGCTCTACTGATTTGAAACCTCCTGGCATGCCTGGGCCTACATTAGAGGTCCTCAGTGTATTATCACGCAGAAGCAGGAGAAACAGGCTCAGGATTAACTCGACTCAGACTGACAACTGGTGTAAACAGTCTGCACTCAGTATTCCTGCTTTATCTGTAATCATGTGTTCTTTGCCTTTAGCTTTAACAGGATGGCTGAGTGACAATCAACATCTCCTTATGCATATCAGTTATCAGAAAGTGCCAAACTCACAAGGGTCCCCATACAGCATGATTTTAAGGGACATACAGCCTCCTTTTGTGCAAACTGTGTGTGTGTGTGTGTGTATGTGTGTGTGTGTGTGTGTGTGTGTGTGTGTGTGTGTGTGTGTGTGTGTGTGTGTGTGTGTGTGTGTGTGTGTGTGTGTGTGTGTGTGTGTGTGTGTGTGTGTGTGTGTGTGTGTATGTGTGTGTGTGTGTGTGTTGTCAAGACGTTCAGCATGATGTTGAGACAAACAATGCTGCCTGAACACACACACAGAAAAAGACACATACACACAATTTGTGTAACGTTTGAGCAACAACGCCTCCAAAGTATAATTTGGATTAGGTGCTGGGGATGTTTAGCTGCCTGCATCCACTGAATAATTGGAATGTGCAGAGCGGGAGAAATAAGGTGGTGTCAAGCCTTCATATCTCCCTGAAGGAGATGATAATGAAATGGCTTGCGTGCTGATGGTGAAGTAAATAGTAAATAGCTCTGAGGCAAGCATAACAAGAATGATCTCCTGTCTGGAAAAGGATAATGGCAGGAGGAGATTTATTCCTACTCCAACTGTAGCTTTTCTGGTTTAGTATTACATTTAAGTATACACTCCAGGTTCGTTTCCTAACTCTACTGCATTATATATGGTAGAGAGGCAAATGGGGGCATCACATCTTTCTTTGTCAGCCCTATTGCTGCAGAAGCTGCCCGGTGGGTGCATTGGACTCGGTGCCTGGCCGAGCACCTGTCCCTGTCAGGGAGAGGTCTATATGCTGAGGCTCCCCAGGAGGGGTTTTACCCACTCAGCCAAGCTGTGGGCCAAGAGGTCTTAGAAACATATAGTACTCCTATCAGCGAAAATGTATGTCAGCAACTTCTTTCCAAGCCAACAAACCAAAGTAGCTCACATGACGAAATTAAAAGCCACAGGGAACCAATGTATTGTCTGCCAAGTGTCTGATGTCAATCTGACAATCTAAATTGGGAATATTTGTAGTCTTTACAAATAAATGAGTTTAAGAGTACTGCAATAGTAATCTGTTGTGTAGAAACTGTGCCATGGAATAAAAGGCACGTTTTCTTTCCAACCAAAACATCATTGTCTCTACTTAGCACACCTTCACCCACACAGAGAGGGAGTCATTAAAATCAGCTGTGTTTGAAATGAAAACCACCAGACTCTAACATGGCACAGGAATTGTTATGTGTGCCTTTAAAAGGAACTTTGTTGGCAAATTATCTCAGATAAAAAGGGTAACCAAAACTCAAGAAAATCCCACTGGGTGGCCTTTTCCCATTTGTCTTCAGGATATTGTCTTCAGGATATCCATTTAAAACATTAAGTAGGATACATGTTGTGCATTTACTACATTTACCTTATGTATAAAACAATAATTAAGTACTGAAATTCTTTAAAATGTTTTGCCTTATGTTAACACTTAACAATACTTGCCCTATTTTAACACTTAACTATACTTCATTTTACAGAACATGTGTTAGTACTATAAACCTTTGTTTGCCAAAGAGGTTATTTTCTCCAATGATCCAAAATCCAATAGATTAATCCCTTGGCTTTTTTCTTGAGGGAACCAGTGCTATGCTAACTTCAGGATTAGTCTACAAAAACAAGTCATCCCTGAAGCACTCCATTTGCACGCAGTCAGAGAGAGATTCATTCGGGTTCAGCTATTAACAGCTGTTCTTTTAGCCCCTGCAGACCTACAACAGACACATTTGTCAGTCTGGGTGGGAAGGTCATGAGGGATCATTGTCTGCTCGTTGCACCTTCTATCTCTGCTGGTTGTCGGGGTTGTTTATCTATTAGACCGTAATATTACCAAAAGGCCAAAGTATCAGATCCTGAAGGGCTGTGAAAACATCTGGTACTATATGCAACACCTAGTTTTGGGTTATTTAATTAATTGAAAATGAGTTTGAAATATGCACCACCACACCAAAGTATTGACTTTCATGATAATGGTGTTTTATAAGGTCGCAAACAGGTCATTTAGCTGAGATCAGAGAAGACACTCCAATGTAGAAAAGTTCTTAAACCTATTGTGCTTTCCTTTAGTGTGTTATATAGGTTTTTGTGCATGTAAATGGTCGGCAGAGGCTAAAATCCCAAAGTTCACTCCAGAGGGAGTTTCTCTCTCATACACACTCCTCCACCCTGCCTGAAACCCCTCCATTGGACTCCTTTGTTTACTTCCATTTCATAATGACATCACTATGTAACACTCTTGCTTCTATTGGCTGGCGCTCCAACATATTGTAAGTGATAGAGATGTCCCTCTCCTTAGCCTAAGTGGTTGACCAATCACAACAGAGCCAAACCAGCTAAACAATCAGAGAACGCCGGGCTCTGGTTTCAGACAGAGGGGGAAAAGAGGTGCTGCAGCACAGGCAGTATGAGAAAAATAAAGCCCTTTTTGAACATTAAAGCATGGAGACATGTCACAGGAGAGGCACAAAATACAAATGTGAACCTGGAAATTAGCATAATAAAGCCAATACAATAAAATAACCCACATATGAACCGGCAAGAAGAATATTAAATGCCAGCAGGACATACATTTGAAGTAAACAGCGAAGAGGAGGTAAATACTGCCATGGACAATAACAAACATAAAAGAGACTGGTAATTGTTATTTCCTATTGCTAATAGTGATCAAAGCGTACAGCCTAATAGCCTTTCATGCTTTCGTTTCTGTCTTCTCAAAATGATACAAACAAATAAAGTAATGCACATATACACACAAAACACTGTTGTTGCTGCTCAATATTTCCTTTTTGCTTATGTTAACAGTTAACTACTTTTTACAACAGGGACATGACATATGTTTCTATTTTATTGTTTAAAAAAACTAAAGCTTTTGGCATGCAAGACTGTTAAGTTTAACAGGTTGTCCAGGTATAGTAGCATGCACTGACAGCTGCTTTCCTCAGAATACCTGCTATTTTCCCAGCGGCAGACCATCTGCACATTAACGTTCACACCCTTACAGTTTCCACTCTGACTTTTGGGTACCATAGGTTTGGGGAAACTTGTCTTTTCTTGCAGAGATAATTGCTGTTTGATATTGTCTCTGCATCCGGGAAATTTCTTTAGTGGTTGGGGCTGTAAGACATGAGAAAGCTTGTTCAGCAGGACTTCACTCGTGTATTTATAGTCTTGTGTCAGTTGCCTGTACATTTTTCTCTGGTTTTGAAGGTATGATTATGAGCCACTTTAAAGATGGGCGGCCCTGTGCGTGTGCAGTATATCCTGAATGGGGATGAATCAAGGGAGAACCCATAAACCCTGTCATTATGTCTCACCTGGATTTCCACTCAATCTGATATAAACAGATGTCGAAAGTACTTAACCACAATAAGGCTGATTTTAATCAATAGCCTTTACACACTAGATCAAAAGCCTTCTTTGAAATACAGATTTTTCATCCATTTAAAAAAAGGTGTAGATTATTCTGAATTGAGCTGTTTTTATTAGGGATCGACCGATATGGCTTTTTCAAGGCCGGTACCGATTATTAGTAATCAAGGAGACCGATAACCGATATTTGGAACCAATATACATTTGCAGTAAAATCAGAAAATGTTGGTGGCTGGCTGGCCGGGACATTGCTCGTGTACAGAGAGTGGTGACTGCAGCCAGAGAAACGGCCGCATCAGAGCCAAAGTTTTATCGGCAATTTGATAAAAAAAAAGGCTGATACCGATAATCGGTCAAATGCGGAATATCGGCCCCTAGTTTTTATGTGCTTTTTCTGTGAGAGACAGTTTTGTCAAGCACACAGTGGGCAGAGGAGCATTTGCCTGGGCTCAATTGAATCTCATTAACGAAGCCACTTAGCGCTGTGGGAATGTCATGCAAAGTTCAAGTTGAATCGAGCAGTCAGTGGGAGTGTAAAAGCCCCCTTAGGGAGGCCTGTGTCGCTCCTTGTGTCTCTTATTTTATTTATATGTTCACACATATGCAACTGTGAACATATTTCCTTTGTTTGTAACTCTAGTAAATGACACATTATATCAACCAACATAATGCCAATACGTAAAGTGCTCCTATTTGTGAATTGTTTCGTATTTTGAATTTCCGAGAAGTAAACCGAGTAGCTATTATAGACAGTAAGTCATCAAATAAAAAGACACTTTACATAAATCTACATAACAGGTAGGTCTAAATCTGGATTAGTCCACTTAAATCCAGGTAACTCCATACTGTGTGGCGTAGAAGGCTGGAGACCAGTAGCCAGTGGTTTACCTTTCAGTTAATGGGCCGTAGCTCTTTGAAGCTCACAGTTTGTCTGCTTCACAAACCTTATCTGATTACTTGACTGGTACAACAGGGCCTGAGTTCCTGGCTGCAAACCTCAGGCTACTAGATCTGATTACTCTTCCTGTTGGGGACCCAGTGCAGGCAGCCAAAACCATCTTTGTTTGGTTTCGCTGTGGGGAGAAATGCTGGCAGCTGCAAGCCTCTTGATGCAGCACTCATTGTTCTGGCTATGCTCTCAGGACAGATTAAAGCATAAAAGTGTTCTGTCCTTTGCTTGCTCTTAGGGGGAATATTATTTCAACCTCAGAGATGGCTGCTCTGAGAACCACAAATCCCAAGGCTTTGTCTAAAAAGACTATTTCCTTTTTAGAACAAGTCTTATCTTGTTATTATAGAGCAGTAAATGCCATAGCAGAATGCATACAAATATGCAACATCATCTGAGGCTAGGATTATAATGATATCATGCAGAATTATAAACGTTTTTTTGTATCAGTTATTGTCCCTGGCAGTACTGTCGACAGTGAACCACTTTTTTCCTGCTCTTGTATTTTGTTAGATAACATAATCATCCGGCAGTTACGTCCGCATAAATGTATTTTGTTCAAAGCATTCACTGCTCGGTTCTACATCATTCCCCCTTCACTTAGCCTTACACTACGAGATGAGAAACAACTACGTGTTGTTTTGTAGGTATGCAGAGTTTAATTGTCATGGAAACCACAACTCTGCCCATGGCCATCAGCACTTAATTTATTCATTATTTGGTCACAGTTGCTTTCAAAAGCACAAGGTGTATACTGCTCAAAAGTGGCTTGTTACCATTAGTAATCACAGCAATAATGTATTTGCTCAAGTGTGAGAATGTATGCATATCGTAAGTTATAACATCCTCTTGATATTGCTTTCAGCTTGTTGCTGCTTTTTCTCTAATGGACTATGACTGACTCCCTGCTGTTCAAATCCAGAAATAGTCTATTTGATTGCAGGTCTTACAGCACTCACTAAACCAGATACTGTATATGCAACAGAGGTCCAGGTCCTTAAGCAACCATTTCACAGCCGCCTGACATAGTGGAAAACAGCCTCTGAAAGGGTTGAATAGAATAATAGTGGGTGAGTTTGGCTGCAGTGGAATCTCAGCTCTTAGGAACACTAATTGCACTCAGGCAGGCCTGGGCTGGCACATGGAGCTCAACATCCCCCAGACCTCCTGTCAGGCCTCCTGTCTGCCTCTCAGACCCATCACTTTCAAAGTCATCCCCACCAACAGGCTCCTCCACAACAAAACCAGCGAATTCAAGTCTGCCTTCAGGTTGCTTTTTTGTCTTGTAAGACTTGATGAATGAATACTGATGTAGAAATCCTCCCAACACATAATTTCAGGAAGTTAGAAAGTGTTGTTTAAGGGTTCTAATTACAGTGTTGACTATCTGCTGGTGTTTTGATGGAAACATTCTTTCAATTTCTCCTGTAATCAGAGGTAAACCTACAGAGTATGCTAGCTATTACAGCTTTAACTCAGCAATTACAACAGACATTCACATATCCTGTTGTGAAACAGATAAAGTTGGTCCTCCTGTGTGCTTTAAACATCGCCTTCATGCCGTCCTCTGTTGTTTCCCCAGCTCCCATCTTCTACTTTGGCAACACAGACTACCACGTGGATGAGAGTGACGGCTACGTGGAGGTGCAGGTATGGAGGACGGGGACGGATCTTTCCAAAGGAGGAACCGTGACAGTGCGCTCCAGAAAGACAGATCCCGTCTCTGCTGAGGGTACGTGTCTCTGCGAGGTGCCTTTCTATGACAGCTTTAGCTAGTTAGTGCTTAGATAAATGTAAACTACAGATAAATGATAGACTTAAATCATCAACCTGTCACTCTTTGTTTTCCTGAGCTCAAGGGTTCATAGTGATGTTAAAGCTGTTGGTTAGTTGAACTGGGGAAAGTAAACATTGTTTTAGATTGGAAGGAATGAAGTCAAGGCTTATTCTGTTCGGCCCTCACTTTCTAGGCATCCGTCGTACTTGTATGTGCTTTGGACCCAAGACCAATCGCTATCTCCTCGAGCTTTCCCCACAGTCCCCATTATCTTCTGCCCCGAGGCAGTCTTTTCCCCGCGAACATATTCTTACCATCTCTGCTCTTGTCTGCTTCTTAACTGTTAACATAAAATGCATGGTAGAAATGCATGCCAACGGCGGGGCGGTGGTGGCGAAGTCGATAGGGACTTGGCTTGTCAACTGGAAGGTCACCAGTTCAAGTCCCGGCAAGACCAAGTTCTACCGAGGTGTCCCTGAGCAAGGCACCGTTCCCTACACTGCTCCCCGGGCGCTGTTCAAAATGGCAGCCCACTGCTCCTTACACTAGGATGGGTCAAATGCAGAGAAACAATTTCCCCACGGGGATTAATAAAGTATATCCAACAATCTATCCAACAACAGTTATACACATATCTGGGTCATAAGTACATAAAAAAACCCTGCGGGCAAAGGGTGAACGCTCAATACTCAGACTCTTCAAAGAATGGCAAATTAATAACATGTTTGCGCTCAGGGAGATATCCAGTTTCAGTTATCCACCCTCTCTTTTAATCACGGAACAAATTCCGACTGTTCATGGCTTTTGACCACGAGATAGAAGGCGTTATTTTGTCAGAATGCAGGATATTTCCTTTCATCTTGCTCGCTGCCTGACACTTGCAAATGAATTATGGAGTAACATGAGAACTGCTGTAGAATAAGATAAAATGCAGAGTCCATTTGTGTTGTATCCACTATATCCCATAAGCACTATGTTATCGGAAACATTCCTGACCTATTTTGTGTTGTGGAGCAGCTGGTGTGGATTACGTTGGGATCAGCCGGAATCTGGACTTTGCACCAGGGGTCACCATGCAGACGTTCCGTGTGACCGTCCTGGATGACCTGGGCCAGCCGGTGCTGGAGGGGCCCGAGAAGTTTGAATTGGTACTCCGAATGCCCATGAACGGGATCCTCGGGGAGCCAAGCAAGACTACCATACTCATCAATGACTCAGTCTCAGACTGTGAGTAAACAGCTTGGTTGGTTTGTAAGTGATTAAAGACGATAATGCTGCATTTCCGATGGTAATTTATGGATTGAATATGTTCTTCTATAGTGCCAAAGGTGCAGTTCCGTGATGCTGTGTATGTGTGCAATGAGAACTCAGGGCAGATCTCAGCTACAGTATACCGTAGTGGAGACATCAGCTACAAGTCCACAGTGCGCTGTTACAGCAGACAGGGGACAGCCCAGGTCATGATGGACTTCAATGAGAGGCCCAACACAGATGATTCCATAATCACCTTTTTACCAGGTGGTGTGAACAAACATAATACACATATTTGCATAATGTATGTTTAACAAGACACATTTAGACATTCAATATATTTTTCACTTTTTCTTTATCAGGAGAGATTGAAAAGATTTGTGTACTGGTGCTAGTTGATGATACAGAACATGAGGAGGAAGAAGAGCTACGCCTTGTGCTGGGAAGCCCCAAGAGTGAATCTCCATTTGGAGCATCTATTGGAAGTCAGAATGAAACGCTCATCAAGATAAAAGACGATGGAGACAGTAAGGATGCTTGGTTTTGTTGTACTTAAAGTTATTTTTAAATGCCACCAGGTGCAGAATATTTATATGATCATAACATTAAACGCTGGTACCCTAAAGGGGCCAGAGTTTAATGTGCCACCCAGTTTTGAGCTATCCCAATGTCATACTTAGTTTTTTAATAAATGTTTGGTCAGTGTTTTTCCAGATATACGACAGTACCTTTTTATTCATCTTAAGGCAACACATTCAGAAAGTTACATACACAGGGGCTTTCATATGTGGTATGCTGAAATGTAAGAGTTACTAGCATTTTGAAACTATGCTTTCTCAGAGGCGATTATTAGGTTTGGAGAGACCAAATTCAGTGTGAATGAGCCAAAGGAAAGTGGCCAAGTGTCTGTGGTGAGGATCCCAGTGCTGCGTGTAGGAGACCACTCCAAGGTGTCTGTTGTCCGAGTTCACACCAAGGATGGATCTGCCACCTCTGGGGAGGACTACAATCCCATCTCTGAGGGTAAATAATAAAGCTAGGCACTTTAATCGTAATAGCATGTTCTTTGTGAGTAAAGATTTGATCAACTATCTTCTCTTTTTGCAGAAATCGTGTTCAAACAGGGTATCACTGAGCAATATGTGGAGGTGGAGATTTTATATGATATTGTCAGAGAAATGAGGGAAGCATTCACTGTGCACCTGAAGCCTGATGAAAACATGGTAGCAGAGACAAAGGTGAACATTGAGCCAAATTAACATATAATTTAACTGCCAAGTGTGTAACTACCTTCTTTATTAACATCCTCTTGATTGCCCCTGCTTGTCAATCAACAGATGAGCAAAGCCATAATCTATATCGAGGAGACCAACAGTATGGCGGATGTAACCTTCCCCTCGGTGCCCAGAGTGGTTTCTCTGTTGCATTACGACGACATCGACAGGAGTAGGGACTCTTCACCTGTGGCCGGATACCCCGTCATTTGTGTGACTGTACGTCCAAAGTGATAGCCCAATAACTACTTGGGGGCATACATTTCAGTCATTTCAACTGCAAATTATTTATTTCACAAGACTTTATGTCACTCCAGCTGGCAGTAAATACTGTTAATGAGGTAGTATTTGCAGATGTGCAGACGTTGCTCAATTATCAGCTACCTTGAAAGCTCATCAGAATACAGAATGACTTTGGCTGCTGCAGTGATTTTTGGATGCATTTTTAATCACAAGCCCAATGTATTCTTTCCATTTCCCAGGCCTGTAACCCCAAGTTCCCAGACTATGACAAAACAGGCTCCATCTGTGTAAGCGAGAACATCAACAACACCCTGACTCATTATCGTTGGCTGGTCAGCGCCCCCACCGGGTCAGATGGCGTAACCAGCTCTATGAGGGAAGTTGACTTCGATACCTTCTTCACCTCGTCCAAGCTTATCACTCTGGATTCAGTCTATTTTCAGGCTGGTTCCAGGGTGCAGTGCGCTGCCAGGGGCGTGAACTCTAACGGGGATGAAGGTCTAGAGCTCAGTAGCCCCATAGTGTCCATCAGCATGGATGATGGTGAGTGCAACTTATTTTCTAGCTTGAAATGTGTAGTCAATGGATATGGCAGTTGTTGGCTGCGTTTTCCCTCCCACAGCAGTACTTCGTAGAAGTGTTAGGGAAACAAAACGTTTGATGTTGGTTTGTGTATGCCGTGGTTGCAGGAATGTGCCAGCCGCGTGTTGCCGGCACAGTGGGGGCCGAGCCCTTCTCGGCCAAGCTGCGATACACTGGAATGGAAGAAACAGATCACCCAAATCTCATTAAACTGACTGTCACCATGCCCCACATTGATGGTAAGCACAGCAGATCAAATCATTTTCATCAGTGAAATTATAAAAAGACAGGTTGTTGGTTTGAAATCACTCTTGAGCTGGGAGGCTCTATTTGTCACTCATCAATCAATATTTTACTGTTACTTTCCCTAAGTTGTAAATCTTACATTCCAATGCTTCCACTTCCTGACTTCTTCATGTGTGTCCTGCTTCAGGTATGTTGCCTGTAGTTTCCACCCGAGCCCTGTCTAACTTTGAGCTGACACTGAGCCCCGACGGTACCCGCGTTGGAAACCATCGCTGCTCCAATTTGTTGGACTACACTGAGGTCAAGACTCGCTACGGCTTCCTTAGTGAAGCCACTAAAAATCCAGAAGTGATCGGCGAGACGTCCTCCTACCAATTCAGCCCTTCCCTCAGGGGATCCAGTACACTACGATTCTACAGAAACCTCAACCTGGAGGCTTGTCTGTGGGAGTTCACCAGCTACTACGACATGTCTGAGCTGCTCAGCGACTGTGGAGGCACCATTGGGACTGATGGACAGGTAAGCAGCCCTACCTTTGAGCTTTAGCTCACCTCTAACCCTTTTTTGTCATCTCAAGACATGAGGAGCAAGGAGGCAGTTCAATAAAGCTTCAGACCACCTTGAGGATAGCAATGTAAACAGTTACTGGTCCATTCTAGCCAATTTTCATTTCAAAATCCTCCCAGATTTTCAGTGCTAATTAATCATTTACAGGCTTATTAAAACCCTCCTTGCCCACTTGGTTTTCCTTAAGTGATCCTAAAGTAAATACAAGCCTGTAGAGAAGTCATCCATTAGTGTCCAGGGACCTGTGTTAACCTCTGTAGTAATGACTAACCTGACAGTCTGCTCCACCCAGCTTCTACTTATTTGTCTTCTTAAAGTGGCAAGTCAATAACCAGCAGCCTCATACAAATCTGTATTCCTCGGTTTCGCTATGTGTACAATGTGTTTTTTTTGTAGCATCAGTAAAATGCAGTGCTGGAAAGAGGACATCTTCAAGCCCTCTGTTCTTCGGCCTTCAATATTTGCATTCACCCTGGAAACCCACCGTTAGTTGACTTGCTGTTAATTAAGGGAGGGTGTTGATAAAGAAGGGCAGTAAGAGTGCATGGAGACTGTCATGGTGAAAACCTCCAGTACACTCCCTTCTGAGGATTATTAATTAAAGCCCTACAGCAATGGCAAATAGGTTTTGGCTCTCAAGTTACTGTATATAAGATTGTATACAGTTTTTAATAATAACTGCCAGTTTGTCATTTAACATGGCTTAAGGTAAATGTAATAACAAAAGGCATCACCCAGGTGATAACAGACATTCCCAACAAGTGGAAATGTGTAGCCTATAGCCACGTGATGTAAATGAGACAGTAATAAACGTGTCTTGACAAGTAAGCAGACAGTTGCCAGTTTAATAACATGTACCCTGAGGTTAAAAACGTAATGCAGAAAGTTTGCATTAAATGGTAAGCACAGCACCCAGGTCTTTATTGATTAGTGGCCAAATTAATCAGAGATAATCGAATAACATATAAAAGAAAAGCCGGTTTTGCAAATGAGGAGTAGTTTTGCAATCCTGAAGAACAAACAACCCAGGAAAAAAAAAAAAGTCTGTCCCCATTGTCTTACTGTATACATCTCTTTATGGGAGTGTATTGTTGCTATGGTTACTGAACAGAGCAAAAGACTGTGTATAGATGCATACACAGGGGCATCACAGGTTCACTTTCAGGATATGGGAGGCAGGATCTTTGGGGAAAACAGGGTGCCTTTGTTTGTGGGTGCTCCTGTGACCCGAGTGCTCCTCTAAGTGGGCAGGCTGTCTGTGAGGGCCGGGGGCCAGTGTCATGTCACAGTGTAGGGCTTAGTGCCCAGCTTAACAGGACCAACGGAATCTATTAAGGCCCAGCAGGATGTGTCAGGAGGCCAAATCATTTGCCTGAGCCCTCAGCGCCCAGAGGCATAGGCACGTCTCCACATGAACACAGAGCCAGTGCAGGCAGGTACTGCTCACAGGTCAGAGGAAAGTGCAGATACAGGAGAACAGGACTCTCACCAATTGAAATCCTTTGACCGTTTTAAGACAGCTCTTTGAAAAAAGGAAAGTTCAAAGTAATGTAAAATCCCAAACAAATGTTATTGTATTGTTATTGTATTTTACAATGTTAGTAGATAACTGCTGAACAATATGTTTTGACATGAAAAGAAAGCTAAAAGATAAACATGTCAGTACTTAATTTGTAATGGATTAAGTCAATTACCACTTAGAGATTACATTCAATCTTACACATTTTAGAACAGCTGAATTGACTAATGCCTGATGTTACCATTATAGGAATGATATCCCAGGAAAGTTTCCCATCACATGTGTTGTCAAGTTTGAACAACAACACTTTCTTAAATCAGCCATAAGGGTAGAATATATTGTTTGTTATCTTCAGAGGGATTGTATATGTACTTTATTCAGGGATGTTTAACTCCCATTACCCCTAAGAAAAGGCTCAATTAATCTGTGAAGTATGATTTTAAGGCTTTGCTCTCACACAACATATTGGTTGTCCCTACAGGTGTTGAATTTGGTCCAGTCCTATGTGACTCTACGAGTCCCGCTCTACGTCTCCTATGTCTTCCACTCCCCTGTTGGAGCAGGAGGATGGCAGCACTTTGACTTGCAGTCAGAGATGAAGCTCACGTTTGTGTACGACACTGCCATCTTATGGAGGGATGGTATCGGTAGCCCACCAGAAGCTGAACTACAAGGTACAAGTAGTTTGCAATTTTAAATTAGGAAATATTAAAAAAATATGTCATGTTCACTTTTAAATTAGTTAAGTTGCCGATTTAAATCTGTCTGTGATTGTCTTTGCAGGTGCCCTGTACCCAACCAGTATGCGTATAAATGGACAGGGACGACTAGTAGTCAACTTCCGCACTGAGGCTCGATTCAGAGGCCTGTTTGTTTTTGCACATCCAGGTAGAGTATGTCATTTAAAAAGGGGGTTAACTGCAGTGTATAAAGTATTAATTAGATTGTGCTTTATAGCATGTCATATTCATTTTCAAAAAGTGAAAAGGCAACAGGTTTCTTGGTGTAGAATATTTTGAGTGTAAGGGAGGGTTTACTCAGCTTCTATATTCATGCTTCACCTGTGACCATTCATTTCAAGATAGAATGCATTTTTTGTCACATTCATCATTAGTTCCTGATGGTGCAGTAATTTACCTTGCAACGGAGCATGCCACATATGCTTTAACGGATGTATTTCTCTATCAGCTTCACCTCTAACCTCTATGGTCATGTGTCCGGACCACCCTGGTATAACCTATAACCTCAGTCTTGTGAGGAATGAGCCGACCTACAATCAGCCCATCCAGCAGTGGACATTTGTTTCTGATTTTGCTGTAAGTAGACATTTTTTTTTATCAGTTTGAATATTTTTACACCTGATTCTTACTAAACAAAATTGTCCTTCTCAGGTGCGCGACTACTCTGGCACGTACACGTTGAAGCTCATCCCCTGCACATCTCCCCCGAACCTGGAGTATAACATCCCCCCTGTATGCAACCCCAGAGAGCCCCTTACCTTCGACATGGACATCCGCTTCCAGCAGGTGACTCCTCCTCGTCTAAAATTAGATAGGAAAAAACTGGATTTATTTATTGAATCGTGTGAGGGGAAATTACAATTTGAGAGCTACTGAGATACCAATACCTTGTTAAAAAAGGAAATTGCCTTTTAAAACCCCTGAGATGTATGTTTTAACCACCCACCCCCCGACCTATTAACTTCAGAATAACATAGCAGTCGTGTTTACTTAAAGTTACACAAGATGTTTCCAACTCCATTACTCTAAACAAAATGCCCAAAATACAAAATGTCTTTCTTCAAAGTGATAAAACACAAATCAAGTAAAGCAATGGATTCCAAAAATAACCCAAAGGTATTTAACTTACCAGCCAAAGTGTTGGGAATCAGTAAATCCGGCCTTGGCTTGATTTCCAGTCCTTTGCCCCATAGCTCTGCTTCTCAAATCACACTGATTTCCTGTTGAATTTGGATGATTGAGGCACAGCCATTGAAATTAGCTATGAGCTGTTTTTACCCCTCCAAACTAAATGTTGCTCAACTTTATTCTTGTAGTCCTACACTCCACAAAAACACATTTCCTTCCTTACCACCCCAAACAATTATCTTCCCTTTGCTCCCCAGGCCACGCCCCCTACACCTGTGATTCTGGAGAAACAGATCACCTGACCAATGTGGTCTATATAGACAAATCCTTCAAAGCAAGAGTGACCTTGATTCATATAACATGTATATATCTCAGTCTAAACATATATTGTTTCAGCTACACAAAATAAAAACATGTTTTTATTAGGTGCAGTGGAATCTAAACTACTTCAAATACTGAGCATTTAAAGGCCTTCCTATGAAACTTAGAGGGTTGGCTGACAGGAATAAATGAAATAAGGAGAATTGGTTAATAACAAAAAGACCTGACATCATGATTGAATTTATCAATTTATGCATACTCCAATATTCATTGCTTCCTGTAAACCACATCTCTAGACTCCTATTAAGCCATTTTTATCTGTTTTCCTGACACACTTTCCTGACACACTTGACACTGGTCAACTACAGACCAGTGTCCTTGCTTTCACAATTTTCAAAGGTCCTTGAGAAATTGTTTGTCCAAAAATTTGATAATTGTATTGAAAAAAATGAGTTATTGAGTGAGAGTCAGTATGGATTTAGGAAAAATTGATCTACAGCTTTAGCTTTAATGAAAATAACAGAAGAAATATACAACAGCTATAAAAAGAAAGAAATACACAATAGGTGTATTTATTGACTTAAAAAAGGCATTTGACACCATAGACCATTACCTATTAATTTCGAAATTACATAGATAGTGAGAGGAGTAGTTCTAGATTGGTTAAAAAGTTATTTAGATAACAGACAACAATATGTAGAATTTGCTGGTAGTACATCGGAGTGTATGAACATATAATGTGGTGTCCCGCAGGGCTCGGTTTTAGGGCCTAAACTTTTTATTTTGTACATCAATGACATATGTGAAACGTCAACATTATTGTAATTTGTGTTGTTTGCAGACGACACAAATTTATTTTGTTCAGGAGATGATTTAAACATTTTAGCAAAGTGTATTGGACATGAAATGGTCAAACTTAAAAGATGGTTTGATGAAAATAAGTTAACCCTAAATTTGAATAAAACGAAGTTTATGGTTTTTGCTAATAGAAAAAAAGATGAAAACATTTCACTGTCCATTGATGGAGTTTTTATTGAAAGGGTTTCTGAATTTCAATTCTTAGGTGTGACGCTGGATGAAAACCTGACATGGAAATCACACATAGCACATGTTAAAACCAAAGTGTCTAGGAATATTTCTGTTCTAAACAAGGCAAAGTATTTGCTAGATTACAAGGCATTGAGGATGTTGTACTGTTCACTCATTTTGCCATTTTTCATTTATTGTATAGAAGTGTGGGGCAACACATATATGAGCAACATAAAGCCATTGTCAATATTACAGAAAAGGGCAGTACGAATAATTCATGAAGCTGACTCAAGGGAACACACCAACAGACTGTTTTTTAAATCAGGACTCTTGAAACTCAAAGACATAGAGCTGCAGACATTATCAGTAATGCAACAAGCAGAATGTTACCAGCATGTTTACAACAGTTGTTTGTTTTTGGATCAGACAAGGAAGACCACAGAAGGAAATTTAATTTTAAGCATCCATATGCAAGGACTACTCTTAAACAAATGTGTATTTCGGTGGTTGGTGTACAATTGTGGAATTCTCAACACAAGGATCTAAAGAATTGTATATGTATTTTTCAGTTAAAGAAGTTGTATAAATTAAGAAAGATGGGACTATATGAAGCAGGATGTGAATAAATCGATGTACTCTGGTCCTTCATGTTTTTGATGTCTTTGATGTGATGTCTCCTCTGTATTTGCGGGTCCCATTGCCATTGTTATTGTTGTTATTGTTATTATTATCATCATGCGTCGCTTTCCACCTTCTTCTACAGTAGGACTCAGATGAGGGTGTTGCACTTTTCTTTTCTTTTCCTTATACATGTGATGTTTTGGTGTTGTTTTGTTTCTTTCCGTTAACCGTCAAGTGGGAAATAAGTATTATTTTGTGTATGTTTCTCTTAGTATCCTAAGATACTGTTATGTTTGGCTGTGAAAAAAAAATAAATAAATTATAATTATTATGAAGGGCAGACCATCTATTTGTATTTATTTGTTTTTTTTAGAAAAGGGCAGGTCACATAAGATTGTATTCTTCTCCCTGCTCCTTTTCGCTCAATGGTAGAGTCATGTTTTGTGGCAATTATTGTACATTTGGTTTTGCGTACCATGAGCGGGACAAATACAAATTAAATTAAATTAAGTGCTCGTAAAACTGCAACTCTTCTCCGTTACGCATACATAATCAACATCGTTATTTTTAATATATTCAGAGGCACATGGAGAGCCATGTGTCCAGCTACACATTATGATGCCAAAATCTAACCACCCAAACAAATAATTAATGCTCTCAGCCCAGATATACTAACAAATTGGCGTCAAAGTTTATCAAAGACCAAAGTCTTAAAATATATTTTACTGTCTTACCAAAAAATGTAAAATGAAACAAAAACAAAAGTATCCCACTGACAATGATGGAAGAAAGAAGCGTTGCTTGGCTTTGTCTCTAACATGGCTTGTGTGTGTGTTTGTGCTTCTAGGTTAGCGACCCGGTGGCTGCTGAGTTCAGTCTGAACACACAGATGATCTTACTCTCAAAGCGGACGCTCTGGCTTTCCGACGGCTCCATGGGCTTTGGACAGGAGAGTGATACTGCCTTCTCCCAGGGTAAGGCATAACATGTAGTCATAACATACTTTTGATAGCTTGTGGATTATAAAACACATAAACAAAAAGTAGTAAAAACGACTGAAAATGCATTACACTGCTCCTTGGACGTGTAGATCATTCTACAGATCAAACTAGAATCCCTGTGTGATGAATATTTCTGTTGATTTAGCAAAAATGTTCCCTATCTGACCAAACAGCATACATTTGAAGGAAAATGAGTCATCCGTGAAGTGTCCTTTTGACCACTTTCATGTATTTTCTACAAACAAGCTAATGAGCTGGATTTAAATTTGTCCAACAACATCAAGCTGCTTTCCAAGTTAGTGTGGAAAGCTCCTCTTGCCAAGAATGAGAGAGTCATTTTTGCTGGCGTTTGAATGTTATTCTCAAAGTAAAATCATTCCAGAGAACTTGCTCCAGTACAACTTTTAATATACAGGCTTTTTGCAGTGATAACATTTTGTATTTATCTTTCCTTTAGGTGATACAATTTACGGCCGAGTAATGGTGGATCCAGTGCAGAACTTGGGCGACTCCTTCATCTGTAACATAGAGAAAGTGTTCCTGTGTACTGGAGCTGATGGATATGTCCCTAAATACAACCCCGGCAACTTTGAGTTTGGCTGTCTGGCGGATGCTCCCTCTCTTCTCTATAGATTCAAGATAATTGTAAGTATAAACATTATATCATCATATTCATTTCACACAGTAGGGCAGTTCAATTAACCTCTTAAGCCCTGAGCCTGTTTTTCAGGTTTCAGGCTCGAAAATGCCACTAACACAACAAAGACTATATCTTCACTTCTAAAAGGGGTAAATTAATAATATTTTCTCTCAAAGCAAGGTTACATCTGTGAGTTGGATGTAGAAGTGTCAGAATCAATATAGATGTTTTTATTTTAAAGTAAATTCAGATGGAACACAGTAAAACATGTAAATTATAATGTCCGCCTAAAAAAAAAACATTACTTATAGTGAAAACCACCCTTGAATGATGGGCTAGTAGACTAAAAGCTTTAGGAATCCAAACTATAACATATAATAAGTACCCTGTATCAAGATTGATGCAAAACAAGTGACATTTGACCTTTTTAGAGAGGTTTAGAAAAATAAAGTCCAAGCGGACTCACCTCTGGGTAATTTGGGAACCATCAGTTCCATTTGAACTTTTTCACTGTAAAAATAATTGTATTACTTTGAATTATCACTATAGGTATTCATTCCATCCAAATACAACTGTTGTGAAAAAAAACAAAAAACATAGGCCTACTCTGTTATCCTCTGAGCCTCTGAATTAGCCCCGAGCGAAACATGCTAACCTATTACTGCACCGAAAATCACTCCTAGCTCCCTTATTACTTATCCTAGCTGCACATCCAACACATTGTTTATGATCGTAAAGACACAGAATCTAATGGTGCCCACCTCAACACTGAAAGATACAAACTCGCGACGTTAATAAACAAAAACGTACATCAAAACAAGTGGTGCTAGCGCTAATGCGTTAGGCTAACATGGCTTACCTTCCTCTTTGTCTGGTCTAAACTGGTCTTCAATGGCATTAAAACGATAAAAACGATGATGTAGTTAATCCATAGGTTAATATCCAATGTGGCTGTGTCCCCTTTGAAATGTTCTGATAATCTATAAGCAATACAACTGCAATTCCGTTATCTGCTGTCCGCTCCTTGCTCCGTGCGTTCTGGGTCCTGCTTCCTTACGTAGTAAACAATAAGTAAAGTCTCCTACGTAATGTACTTAAGCTGGCTGGCATTCTTTATACTTTATGCAGGACCATATCTCTGGAACCCATTGGTCGATTTGGGTGATTTACACGTTTTTCTTAACCATTACATCCAATAGAATCGATGGGCAGTTCCCAAATCCACGTAAACATTACCATTGCGGACGTAATAGAGAAGCAAACGAAACATATCTGAAAGTACAAGCCTGGACGGCAAAACTTTATACCCAGTATATTGCCATAAATATGATGATGGATTATCAGTAAAAATGTATACGTGACACAAAGACATTGGATTAACCTTGAGCGGCGTTTTTATTCCGTTGAACACAACTTTTGATTACAAATCAAAAAAGGTAAGACGTAATTATTGTAATATTTTTGAAACCGGATGTTGTTTACTTTCTCTTTTCTGGCTGATAGCTCCAGGAATTCGAGGTCGGACAGTGATGACATTACATGTGTGGAATCTGTGGAGTCTCAGCTTTAAATCGTATATCTTGTTTGTGCAGTTAAGATAGTAATAAGGGCATTTCTACCGTGAGTTCTGTGTAAAAAAGCGTTAGCATTAGTTAGCATTTTTTCGCTCAATGCTAATTCAAAGGCTTGGTATTACTCTTGTGTTTTTTTTAGCTGACAAATGTTCTTATTGTCAGTTAGCGGAGTTTCTTACCTTTAAAAGGGTATGAAACATTAATAGTTTCATAAATGTTAAGAAGCCCTGAGACATAGTCTCGTAAAAAAAACGGTGGGAGGGGTCCACTGGGGGGACCTTCGGGCTTAAGAGGTTAATCGTATTTTAATCACAATTATGATTTTAGCTTGCAACGATTATGAAAACAACATATTCGAAATTAAACGTTTTTTTTTGTTTTTTTTCAGTTGAATTATACTTAAAGTTCAGGGTAATCAACTGTTAAAAACATACTGTTAAACAATTTTTTCAATACATTGATGTTTTCAAAGTACATGGGTAATCGTTTTTAATAATCGTGATATCAATTATTGACCCAAATAATCGAGATTATGATTTTTGCCATAATCGAGCAGCCCTATCACACAGGCTTTGTGTCCATTTTAATCTAAATATTCTCTCCTGTTTCATCCTTCACCCCAGGACAAGGCCCAGCCAGAGACCCAGGCCCGCTCATTTGGTAATGTAGCTTTCAACACCTTCCTTGCGGTGGATGACCCCGGCGCTTTAGCTCTAGTGAGACAACCTGGGTCAGATGGTTTCAGAATAGATTCCTCAGCTCTCTTCCAGGTCAGTATGAATGTTAAGCACTACAAACACATTCAGCACACACACCCGCGTCCTTATTCTCAAATCCTTAATGCATCCTAGTTTGTGTTATGTTTGTGCTGGAATTTACATTTTTGGCATCCTGCTGTGTAAAGAGCAAGTGAAAAGAGCAATATAAGAAGTATGTATACTGTTCAAGGGTCATAGCAAGTAACCTTAAAAGATGTTTGTTTTTCTCTGACTTTTCACTTTGTTTTCTTATCAAGGCGAGAGAGAAAAAGTCAATGACCTGACAATCTGCGTGTAAACCTTATTGCAATTCAGCAATCCAGTAGAAACTAAAAATATAAAACCAAACACAGATCTTGTTAACAACAAGCTTGTTAAACTTGTCTAAGTAACGCTAAAGAGCTTATAGACGCTTTAGATATTTATAACACAATGAGATGAAATGAGATTGAAACAAACATAAACAAATAAAAACATTACACACATACTGAGCACACTAATTATGGCTGTGTTTAACTTATATTTTGACAATGATGGAAAGGGTATTATTTAAAAAGATTAGTTTTTTCCAATGGCTGAAAAGGTTTTGTTCTTCAACTCTATTCTACAGTAACTGTACAAGGCACACATTGAGTTTGAGGTGGCATAATAAGTTGGCTAGATATAAACTGGTACGGAAAAAATGCCACAACAAACAAGCATCACTGACAGCAGCTGCATTTTTAACAGTGGTAAAAGTATATCATGGTGTTTTTCTTGTATTAGTTAAGGATAAAGAAAACAGCAGATTTTCTGAAAATCGAAAGTATATAATATTTTCTAACTATAACTGTTACTCTCTTCAGGTGTCTGCAGGGAGGGAATGGTTCATTCACACCATCTACACTATCCGTTCTCGGAATAACGCTAACCGTGGTATAGGTAAGAGAAGCCTTGAGTACCATGTAATGAGCCAGCAAACAAGTCTACTTCCAAAGGGTCAACATCGAGCAAGAAGATCAGCCAACGATGTGCCAGACGTAATAGAAGACATTGGTCAGAGTAACAACCGCGGCACCAACATCCTCCACATCGCGCTGGATCGCAGCAGCCAGAAGAGGACGAGCCCAGAGAGAGAGATCTTCACCAAAGGGATCATCCCACGTGAACTCAACCAGAAGGACAACAGTGATGACGGACTAGTGTTGATCATTGGGGTCTTTGTGGGGCTGCTCCTCACGGTGCTCATCATTATCGTCGTGGTGCTACTGGTGCGGTCCAAGCGAGTGAAGAAAGATGTACCGAAGAAGTCCAGCAGCGCAGAGCCCATGATGACACAAGCCATCAGTGACAGCTCAGAGGTCTAACAGACTGATGATAGAGAGTTACCGTTAATATTTTTCTTTTGCAAGTGCCTCACATTTAGATAAAAGATTGAAGATTGTGTGTGAAGCAACACAACATACAAGAGCTTTGATTCTATTCAGAAATCTACTTGAAATACTGCATCACTTCCACAACTGGGAAATGGTTGGGACACTCACTTAGAGACGGACTTTGTTAGCGGCTGTTTTAAGGTTCTAATGGAGTTTTCAGCACTCACTTATTGATTTGCTTTTTTATGCCACGTGATCCCAAAAAGGTGTTTTTACGTTTCCAAAGGTGCTACAGAAGATGCCTCTTAACTTGGATGGCAATTGGTGTTTTACTGAGCAGGTCAAGAGATGGTGGATATAACAAATAATGCAGTTGTTAACAGCAGGCTTTGTATGTTTGATTTTCTGCATCAAGACACTGTCCACAGTCTGCTTACACTGGTTGAACCTGTCTGTTCTTATAGATAATGATTTGTCCTTAGATTCAGTGCGTGCCTAAGAGATCACATCATTATGAGGTTTTATGTTGTACGTTATGATTTGTCCTGTGTGATGATCAGTAAGACATCAAAGTGAAAAACAATGTTTCACATGTGTTTGTTGTGTTCATGATTTAGCATGCATTTCATTTTCTTTTGTTTTTTTATCGTAAAAATAAGTCAAAATGCTGATTTGAATGGAGTTGTTGCAAATGTGTCTACTGTATTTCCATTAGTGTGTTTTTTACACTGTATCCCCTGAACAACAGTATTTATCAATGGCCACATTTTAACTCCCCTCTAATATTTAGTATTATCTTTAAAACTTGTAATTGACACTAGGCACTAAATCAAAAAGGAAAAGTAAAACTGTTAGAGTCTGTAGTAATGATTTGACTTTCAAGACAGCTGGTCTGCAACTATAACTATAATAGCGGTTCCAGATCCACTTTCTCCAACAGGAACCATTTTCACTCTAAACTATTACATTTTTTTTTAAATCCATTTACACAACAACACAATTAGTCAATATCCTTAAAGGGAATTAAATGTTTTACCTTGACTCATCATCATACATTCAGAACTGCTGTCCTCCCCCCTATCAATCACTTTGAAATATATTTATTTTGTGTGCTTGTCATTTAGTGCAGAAACAAATCATAATATCCTTACCTCTCCCTTTATGATTTAGTTTGAACCTATTATTCTCAAATTCTAATTGTAATGTAATTCAGATTTCAATGTACAATAAACATATACAGGTTATGTATACGTTTTAGTTTTCCAGATGCAGGCACAGGATTGCCATAACACCTGATTACCTCATACTACTGTATATCCTTTGATAGACTCTAATCACTACTCTATAAAAAGTTTATTTGCAATTTTATTTTGAAATTGAATACAATTCTATGCAACCTGTGAAATCATACCTTCATGAAATGTTTACCCCAAGTATGATTATTTTCAGTGCACATTTTACATTTGCTTACGTATCTAGGTTTGACACTGTATCAATGTACTGCGGTTCTTTTATTCCATTCTAATGCTTTGAGTGCGTCCTGAGTTTGTTTATGCACATGTATGTATATACTTATGTATTACTTATAAATATACCATTTGGATGTATTGGGAATGGTTACTGTTAACACAAATGCATACTGTATGTGATGTAAGTATTTGTAACATAGACCAGAAGCACAGCATGGTCTGCAAATAAAATAATTTTTCAAGAAGTTCTGTTTTTTGATTAAACACATGAAACGCATGAAGCTTCTTTGAACAATTATCCCATTTATTTGTAATAGATACAACATTTTCTTAAAACATTGTTTAAAAAAAAGGCTGTATAGAAATCTATAAATATATCTATACCTTAAACCCCCCAACATGGAAATCCCACACCATATCATAATGTACCTAGATCTGTATTATTTCCATGGTGCAAAAAGGTAAAGAACAATCAGAAATGCAATAATCAATATGACCTTTTCAACAATTATTACTTAATCAAACAACTGCAACTGTTCTGTAAATATCATCTGCATCATGTGACTATCTACTTAACAGACAGTATTGTTTAGAATGTTTATAAAATGTTGTGTTATATAGTTTACGCGGCAGGGGATGAAATTCGTTTTTAGCTACATCCTTGAATAATGCATTCAATTTGAAGTGCAATTGATGTTATCTTTAGAATTTAAAACATTTTAAATAGTGCTTACTTAACCTAGTTCACTTTAGTTTTACAAGCACATTTAGAAACATCCAAATTTGCTCCGTGCAAGTCAAGCATCAGTCATACAACGAGTCAGTAAACCATGTGCTTTTATTACCAGTGCATATTCATAAAGAAAACACAACAGTTTGTATTGGTGTGACACAGCATAGGGTAAAATGTTTCAGAAACATCTGAAAAGGTGGAGCCTTCGACTCTTGAAAGATGTCTGGGCTTCTGCTTGGCAACAAGTCAAACAACAGATCAGGTGCACGGAAACAGCAGCTTCCTGGTTGTCTCAACAGGTGAAATCAGGTCACATCCTGTAGGTCTGAAAGTCTCGACACTTGGGATTGTGAATGTTGGTGTGTGAGTGTTTAGCACAGTGCTGTGGGTAATTATTTCAGACCAGGAAGTTGCGTTTTTCCTGCACCATGGTCTCTATTCTGCTGTGGCACCAGATGTTCTCATGACATTACACAGAATGAACACTAGGGGGAGTAAGAGCACCAACAGCTCTACTGGTACAGGTTTCTACTTGAAAATCATGGCTAGTGCAGGCAGAAACTCAGATCTAAAAGCGTTTTATTATAATAGGCGAGTGTTTTCTAAAGCGTGGATGAGTTTGCTGGCAAATGCCATCTAATAAACTATCATTCATAGTTGTAACTGGTTCCTATGTGAAAGCCCACTGTAAAACGGGGTTCATATTCCATCCCATTCATTGTTGTGGTCTTGGATCCAAAGTATATGTGCACAGAATAACAGTTTTATCTCAAAGCTGCCAATGTCTCTCTTTAAAGCTGATCAACAATAAAGAAATAAATTGTAGTATTGACGTTTTTCCATTGGCATGCTAATCTAATTCGGATGGATTTCCTGAGATATGTGTTTCATTTCTGGTTTGTAACCGTTAGGACTTTAATAAATAAAGGCAAAACAATATCTATCTATTAGCCCATATTTAAGACGGGGAAACTTAGAAATCCTTGAACAAAACGAAAACAAAGATGGGTTTGTAGTTTTGAAAAGAGAGACGCTCGTGTACAATAACACTATCAAAATGTTCCAAATATGTGGAGATACTGACTCCTGATTTAAGATTAAATGTCCTTTTTTACAGAAAGTATGAAGCTCTAAAGAAGAAAAAAAATCACATCAATATAGAAAAATAATTTTTAAATGCTGAGCTAGTGTATAAAATAAAATAAATAGCCTTTTTTTCCCCTATTTTGTTTTTTTTCCCCTTTTAAAACAATAGATATTAACAAAAACAAATATTGTGCTGCTTACATTAGCAATAAATATGACACTTCATTTAAGCATGTGCTGGGTATGTTTAGAAAGCACACTTTTTTAACAGCTGCCATAAACACGTTTAGAATCCTTGACTGCTGTTCTCTGTATAACCAAAAGGCTGTGTATTTCAAAATCATAGCACATACATACGGAGTGATCTAATATACACAATATACATTTATGTATATACATTACATACAGCAAATCAATGCACGGATGGTGGAGATATCTTTATGTGAGTCGTGAGTAAATGAAACATTTTATATATTTCCTTACTGGAGAAGCGTAGCGCTGTTTTAAAAATTGTACTGTAAGCATTAACTAGTTTATGAGAAAAGCAACCGATGTGTACACTGTGTTGTTGGCTAGGCATTAAGATCGAAAATAAAAGGTCATGCAATTGAACAAGTTATGGCTCATTTAATACTTCACTCCATATCCTACCCTGCCCGGTCTCAAATAAAGTGTTGTGTAATAATACCATCAACAGCGTACAAGACAAAAAAAAGCTTTTGAAAGTTCTCTAAAACTGTTTATAGCTTTGTGTCCATTACTTGTCCCAAGGATGCTACATTATCCAACTTCAAAAACAACCTTCAATACACATCAAAAGGAGGGTAAACTCAGACACTTCATTATATCCAGGAGAACAGCTGATGTGCCCATCAAAAGACTGCATTGGAAAGGTCATTGCACCCTGTGGAATACATTGGTTGTGTCGTTGTCAGTGCTTGCTGTGGTGAAGATGGCGGTGTCAGGTTTCTACTGTAGGTAGCGGTAGACCTTGAAGCAGTGGTTCCCAGAGTCTGCCACTGCCACATGACCATCAGAGGTGAGGGACAAGCCCTGTGGGCCATAAAGAGGGTCCGCTGTCGTGTTGATGTAGGACAGGAAGGACCCTGAGCTGTCAAACACCTGGTTGGTTACACAGCACAAAGGAAAGGTTAGTTATATACTTACAAGGTCGGTCTCTGACGTAAATGAGAAAAGTTTTTCCTTAAACTAACCTGGATCCGACTGTTGCCCCAATCAGCCACGATGATATTTCCATTGGCATCCACAGCCACGCCCGTTGGAGCATTAAACTGGCCATTCCCCTCCCCATGGGAGCCAAATTTAAACAGGAACTCCCCATCTGCATTGTAAACCTGCAGGAGAAATTACACAGGAAGGAATGTGTAAAAGATTACACTGCTGTGACACATATCACAAATATATACAAAAGAAAAAGGGACAAATAATAGAAATCAACACAGCACAAGTGATGTGAACTCAGGAAAAGGTTTGCTGTATTCCTTTGGAGGTAAACTTGATTCAAATATAGTCATTTTAATATACGTACATACTTGCAACAAGCCTTACCTTGACTGAATGGTTGTGAAAGTCTGTTACCACAATTTCATTTTTGTTATTCACAGCCACAAAGTGAGGACCTGAAAGCAGCAGAGAAGAACGAGAGGTAAAGAGAAAAACGATGAGTCATCCACTGCTATACAACAGGATGTTCCCCACTATTTTTGGACTACAGGACACACAGGACACACAGATGACGTGGGACAACACGTGAGAAACCACAGAGCATAAACACGTACAAAGAATATAGAATAGTTTACATTCACAGTGACTTCATTACTTACTGAAAACAGGGCCAGATTTACTAAGCTTTTGTTCCAGTGCAATGTTTGCACCACTTTTTTCTAAAAGGAAAGAAAAAAGTCCAAGTGAGAAATTAAATTGAAAGAACGGGTGATTTCCAACTGAAATACTGCGGTCAACAACTGAAGCAGTAAAAATGAGGGACTTCAGTAATGCAAGCAAATCCTATCAAGACGTGATTTTTCTCCCAAGCATTATAGTGAAAAGCAAAAGACGGGGAGAAAATCTTCACATTATTTCCATGCATTAGTGTGCATTATGAACTTTTGCCTCTTTGCAGCTCTGCCTTGTACCGTGATGATCAGGTGCAGGTTAACAGTATAAGATCATCAATGCAATATAAAGAATCAATACCTGTGGGACAATGGCTATAATTATTAAACAAAATAATTAAACAAGCAGCTATACATGCCAACATTAGATTAAGTCTAAAAATAAAAGGAGGATAAAAAACATGCTTCTTAATAAATGATACTTCAAATCGACATTCCTTTAGAGCAGGGGTGTCAAACTCAAGGCCCGGGGGCCAAATCCGGCCCGCAACTTCATTTTATGTGGCCCTGCAAGAGCTTACAAAGAATATGAGTTTATTATAATGTTATGTGCCGCTTTACAGGAGAACGTTGCCCATAAACTACATGTCCCACAATGCATCTCATATTGTGACATGCGCAATGAAGAGACTAGCAATTATTTTCTCTAGACTTCTGATTTCAGACGTAGTTAATTATGAAGTTATTACCCTATCTGATAATAAATTATAATCCAATGAAAAGGCAATAGTGTAAAATAATACATTATTGTATATTTATCTATGTATATTTATATAGTCTTAAAGTTGCCACCGGCCCTTTCGGTGCAACCATAATTCTAATGTGGCCCGCGATGAAATTGAGTTTGACACCCCTGCTTTAGAGTATAAAGCATGAAGGAAATCTGTCATTCTGGCCCATTTGGTGTACATATTTTCTTCCTGCAAGAAGATCGATTCAATGATAATACCATTTTTTAATACATTTAGACAGTACCTGCAAAGTGTCGGTCTGATGTTCCTCTGGCTCCGAACTTTGTCACCAGCTTCCCATTTGATTGAAATATGAAGACACAGCAGGCCTTATTATCAACCGTGATGATATGTCCGTTCTTATCCACAGCCACGCCCTTCGGTCCCATCAATCTCCCAGCCCCGATTTTGCTCTGCGAGAGCCACAGGGAAACTTGAGTCATCCAGAGAAACAGTTGTGAAGTGTGTGTGAGGTGTGTGCAGTTCTTCTTGGCTGAGACCATTTACCTTGAACTTTCCATCTGAGGAGAAGATGCTAATCCATCTGTTGTCGTAATCAGCCACAATTATGTCACCGTTGACGTCCACTGTGACCCCTGTGGGGCGCTGCAGCTGCCCCGGTGAACGACCTCTGACCCCAAACCTCATCTTGAACTGGCCATCATTTGAGAATACCTAGAAAAAGAGAATTTTCTATTACTCCAAAGCCTGAACAATTTAATAATAAATCTTTATTTATATAGCACTTTTCATACAACACATGCCGCTCAAAGTGCTTT